AGTCGAGGGAAAAGTATTGGTTTCAACTTGACGGAGCGCCGCGTTATTCTATCCATAATGCTTATATGGAAAGCTGTGATAGGATGCAAAATGCATATCGTTTATTTTTGGTTGTATTCGTATGAGATTTTTGTGCATTTTCGATTTGAAACATTTTGAAGTGGTTAAACCCAATTTATTTTTGCATATCTTGATAGTCTTTACATTTACATTATAAACTCGCATATTTTGCATATTTTAAGAGGACAGAAACGGAAGGAGTGTAATTCCTTCAAATTTTCCTATTAGCTATTACGTAAATTCATTCTTCCATGGCAACTTTCCATTGTAATGACAGGGGGTGCATCAGATGTCTTCATTTCTTTCAAAGATTATGTTTAAAGGATCAACAAGCACATATTCGCATGCAACTTTTAATTCTAGGAAACTTTTAAATAATAAGAATGAAAATTTTAATTTACCCTTGGCATTTTCTTTCTGTATGAATATCAATCGACATTTATGTTTAACGTTTAAATATTATAAAAAACAGCGAGGTAGTCAGAATGTAGTGTGCAATGGGAACCTGGGAATCAATCAATCAAACAAGACAACTTGCGATATCTTAACACCCTATCGGGGGACAGATTTCTGGCTAGTTATAGGTACAATTTTTCTGATATATACCTACAATCCGTCTTTAAAGGTTCCATCTGAGTAATTTTAACTTGAGCAACAATTACAACTCCTTCCATTGCGGCATTGCAACAACAATTACCTTGTAAATGGATACTTAACCGAAGATATAAATTGTTTTGTTCGTTAACCTAAATTTAGGCTTACCGCGTTGGCGCCTATTTGGTCTGCGAAAAAATAAAATTCAAATGTATGTACATATTCATGCGTAAACCCGGAACATTGTTTTGTGCGTACCTACCTATTGTCGGTCAATAAACTTATGGATAAAACAAAATGAGTAGGTAAATCTTTTAATTATGAGTGTGATACTACTAAAATCTACGAAAAATTTCGTAAACGGGACTTTCCCATGATGCGGATAGTTGTGGAAGCGGACAGGACCGTATTCAGCTTACGTTTGGTGAAAACACCATGATTAGAATACTGATTGCATACGTTTGCTTGCAAATTTTGTCCAAAAGTGAAATGCAGCCATACTAAATCAAACACTGAGAGAAATAATATAATCAAAGTGTCTACCTGAAAATATTTTAATTACAATAAATGTCTTTTTATTTGCCTCAATTAGTTATCAATTTATGACAATAATCTCATATACTGTGTTAAGTACAATCGATTTTCTAGAAGTGGTGGATAAGGGCAATTAGACATATTTGCTAAACGCTTGTAGATTTTCATAGGTACAATAACAGCAGATAGCGTTTTCGCTGCAGTTATAAAACTGTTGCATTGAATTTGATATTCTTGCTTAATTACGTTTTTGTAACTGCCACAAACGTTTAGTTTAGTTGGCGTTATGAAATACTAATTTATGGCGAGTAAACATCTACTTGTAGCAATCGTCTTCAGAAGCCGTTTTCGTTCGTTTTTTGACGACCATAAAAGCTGGAGTAGGTATATACCAATTTCTTAATATACGCATGCAGGTATACATTGTGCTGTGCGGGTGTACGTTTTATTCGGTTTTTTTATTATATGTACCTAGTGTACCAAGAGCTGAAATTTACGCCATACCTACCCCAAAATGAGCGAATTTAAGTCATTACTTATTAAATGGGGACTTGATGTATATTTCGACTATTTCTTAGGTAAGTAGAGTTATATTTTTGCTACTATTGCTGTCTACCGAAATTATTGTTTAAGTTTTTAAGCTACTGAGACCCAGTTGCGCCAAAAAAATTAAGCCTTGCTTAAAGTTATGTCGAACTTAAAATCTATGGCAACGATTATTAAGACAATCGTTGCTATGGTATTTTATTTAAGTTATGCTTAACTTTAAGGGATACTTAATTTTGACGGTGCAATTGGCCCTCACTGATGAAAATTGTTCAAATTTTATGTCGTGATGTGTTCAAGGTGTAACGTACAGACACGACCGAGTATATTATGCTTTCAGATATTGTTTATGTCAATCAGTGCATCATTGTAAATAATGAATATTACATCACAATTTATTAATTGTATCCTAAGTGGCATTTTCATTTGATTTTCATTTTTTATTGTTAGATAGGTATAGGATTGTTGTTTTTAAGTGTAATATGTACGTTTTTCATTTTTTTCTAATAAATACCATTGTGAATTACGTTATTACTAATTCCAATTGCCCTTAAGGAATAGATTTTTAACACAATTAAACAAGTTGTACTGTAGTAAGTCAATTAAAAACCATTCTAATTTAACTACGTTTCTACAACACCTCGCTTTGCTACCTACAGTTATTTTGCGGTTAAATCTTCCTAAATATATTATATACTTACAACAATTTAGTGTACTATTTAAGGTTATTTAACGTACACTTATTTTAATTAAACTGTTTATTATTCATAATAAATGCCTCTAATTGTCTCTAAAGAAAGTTTATGTCTGTTGCCAGGTTTTCAAATACCTACGGTAATTGATGTAATTACAAATAAAATTAAAATTTGACTGTAATCAAACAGGTACAGAAAACTCTGTTTAATTATCGTGAATAACAAGTTGTATAGTCACATATAGTATTAAATTTTTTTTATTACTGCTAACAGATTTTTCTCTCAGTGAAATCATGCCGGTCATTCTTTAATTGGGCGAAAGCCTGTTGAGAGCACAAAACAAGTGGGGGCAATATTTTTTAATATTTCATTTATTTTATAATTTAATATTTATTTAAAAAGTAATAAAATATCTCGTCTCCTAAAGACGTAATGAGTACTCCCTGAGAATCTGTAAGTGGTACGGTGGGATAACTAGTTTTACCTTCTCTAAAATCTGCAATTTACTTTTTTTTCATTCCCTATCAGAAAGTGGTGGGGAATGAACACTTGGAACTATACGAGAACAAGGGAGAACATATACGTCTTCCTTTTAAGAGAATTCGAAAAACTCACCTGTTTAACGGATTTTTTTCATTGCCAGCCTATGATGATTTGATTATTAACCTTCTCTTCACTTGTAAAGGCAACTTTCTCGGCAGCTTTTGAAAGTGGTTAAAAATTATGGGTATTTCACACATTTTTCGTATCTCGCCAAATAAGGGTTGTTAAGGTGATCTCGAATGCACTGTATAAATATACTATTATGTAATGTTTGTTATACAATTGTACATTTGTACGATTTTGATAATTGTAAGTATACCATGTACCTACCTATATTAACAACCAAATAGGAGAAAATGGGGGAACCGGGCACCGCGGGTAACAGTGCGTATTACTATAGATATCTTCAAATTTCGCGGCAGCCGATGGAATCCATTATGGCATGATTAAGATTCAAGGGGCATGTCTAGCCCATATTTTCAGCGACAGCGAGTTCCGTTGTTCTTCAATCTGTCCCTTTTCTTACTGTTTTGCATGTGGCGAAAATAACCCTGTAAGTTAACTGATATTTAAAATACAAGAACATTTTGTTAGAACAGAATCTCTATGCATTTTTATTGAATTTAACTGAAGTTTGGGTTAGAAATTACGATGGGGTAATGATGAGCACCATTAACCCTCTCATTGAATGAAATCATACAAATACGTATTTGGTCTATGATTAAATGTAAAAACCTTTCGGCAAGTTCTTTAACCTAGGGGGAAACAACTTTGAACTTTTGATGTACATCCCTTAGATTTGGCGTGAATTATTTAGAATTAAGGAGAAACTGAGTGCGTTCACCAGACGAGGCGCTTCATGGGCACTATCTAAAGGCGGGAATACTCTCGCGGGAGTTTACAACTCGACAGCGCTATCAGACAGACAAGCGAAACCGAACAGCTGTCAACAAAACCGACCTATGATTTATGAGGTAGTGAACGACTTTAGGAACGATCTCCCAATGTAATGAAATTTTCTCAATGTTACTTGGCCCAAATTTGGGAGTCCGTCGCAGCTCATGGCGTCACAATGTACTTCCCCCTCGAAAATTGTATGGATTAGTTTGAATTAATTTGGATTTACGTGAATTAACTTGAATTTACGAATATTATATTGAATTAACATGAACTAATTTGAATTAAAGTGAATAAATTTGAATTAGCGTGAATAAATTTGAATTAGCGAAATTAAATTGAATTTACGTGAATTGGTGTACACCATTTATTTGTTTCCCCTAGTCTTGAACATTATAATTTTTTTGCATTATTTTCTAATTCAGAGTATTGCGCACAGTTCCCTACCCTACCTACTGCGAATCATTGCCATGGTATGGGGAACCATGCAATTTTTCATGTACCAAAATTACAAGCGGTGGTTCGTTTTGAAATGATAGTCCTGTGTATTCATTTGGTTTCTTTATAGATGAAAATGTTTTTAGGAAAAATTTACTTGTTCAGTTTTCTCAGGAGTTTTCCCGCTATGACGAATTAGTTTTGGGCTGAGCGAAAAACTGAAAAATGGAACGTTCAAAGTATCCCTTCACCTCAAAATTAGTTATAATGAAATACAAAAACTTTTTCAGAGAAACAACATTCCCAATTTTCAAGCTGATTCGACTTATTTTAAAATGACATTTTGTGTGGCACAAACCTAACTTAACATGAATCATTAGAGATCTACTCTTTTAACTTTCATATGAACTACATCTAGTTTGACTGAAATAGCAAAATTTTCTATTTAGTTAAAATTTTAAAAATTGAAACTTTCCTAGATAAACAAACGCCTTCAATTCCATCAAAACACGACTTACTATTAAGCAATCTGTCACTGTCTTTGTCTCATATGGCACTATCAGGGGAAGAAACTAGAAAGGTTCCCACTGCCAACTCACCTCATAATTTCCATGGAGCAAATTGAAGCAACTGTGTCGTCACAAGTAAAAGTACAGAATTTTATTCAACATAGTACACATACAAATCAATCAATCAATAGAAAATTTGTAATAACATTAATACAGAGAAGAGATATTAACTACAATTTACAAAAGTACATGTACTTAATTAAATTCTGCGATAATCAACGTAATAAACTAGTACGTTCGAAGGTGTCCTGTGAGAACGAGTCACTATGTTAACGATTACAATAAAACTTTAACTAACTGTATTGTATACTAAGTTAAAAAAGAAAGTAAATAAAATATGTCGATTAATATACATAATCAATGGTCAATTATCAAAATGATCAAAATTTTTTTTTACAAGATTTAATTATCTTACATTTGTCTAAACTTACGGGTGGTCTCATCGAAATCTAAGGGGAGAATGTTCCTCATAATTGCCACATCAGTCTTTGTAACTTCGCACTAATTATCTTTCTTAAGATTACAAAAACACTTCACAGTGGATCTATTGCAATTTAGCTAATCCTCGAGGTGGAAGTTAGTGACGGGCGCGCATGTAGACGGCGGCCGAGTCGTGTTTGCTGTATCCCAAACGGCGAGCGTGCTTGAAAACTTCATTGGCCGTAGCTGTTAGCAGAAGAGGTTGTTGTAGAGAATCGCTCAACTCCAACGCCAGCTTCAAATCTTTTTGCATGTGTTGCAGAGGCATGCGCGGATTTCGGAAATCTTGGTTTACGATTATGTTCGCCTTCTCCATCAGCGCGGGGGAGCTCATGGAGGTAATGCTGAAGATTTCCAGCACGTCCTTGAGCGACAATCCGGATCGGTCGGCTAAAACCAGGCCTTCGGTGAGACCGGCGAGCGAAATGCCACGCATGACCTGCAGTATTAGATTCATTTTTGTCGCGTATCCGACTTCGCCAAGGTAGAACGCCGTTTTTCCCATCGCCTGGAAGCATGTCTGACAATCGTCGAAGAGCGACTTGTCGCCCGCCCCGAGAACAATTAAAGAACCATTGTCAGCTTCATCTTTGCTGCCTTGCAGTTGGGCTTCTAAGTAACGCCCACCTTTACTAGTGATAACATTACTGATGTCTTTTGAAGTTTCTGTATCAATTGAGGTTAGCTCAACATAACCTTTCCCTTCTAAGCTATTGCCGTCTTGCTGATATAATACTCCACAGTTTGTGAAAACGATCTAGAATTCAACAAAACAATAATTAGTTAAAGCTAAAAATGTTGCTTTAGCGAACCTCCAGCAAGTTTATGAGTGGAGGAGGATAGGAATTAACTATTTATAATAGATTGTTCGGTAACAACGTTGAATGTCTCTCACCGTGGGAATTAAAATCTTTATTTGTCAAGGCCGCGGTGGTTGTTTTTCGTTCTACATACACGCAAAATCACTTCTAAAGACTGAAACTAGTATTATATTTAGTAGGAAAGCCAACTTTTCACTAAGAAAACTCTTTTCATTCATTTATCCCACGTGTAAATCTATTACGAAATCTCCGTGATGGAATCTCAATCTCGAATCAACGGAATTCACGCGTCTATTGGCAAAAATATGCGTACAATATTTTCTGTGAGCAATGCAAATAATTTTAACTGAGATGAATCTTGTGCTTCTTGTTGTAATATTGTTCAATTAATGATTCGTGAATCATGAGATCCCAAGAAATATTTCTTCTTGCTACAAAATGAAGCTAAACATCAAAGACTAATCAGCTTCCGAGTACAAATGACACATATCTTGACGGCGCTTGTGTGAAACCTAAAAAACCAAAAGGCACTAATGGTTTACATTCGATCACTATAACTGTAATGGTGGACGTCCGACTTATTGTTCCATCTTCAGGAATACAAAAAAGTAGCTTTATGAAATACGACGTTGAATATACATAGATGCAGAAGGAAGTTGTAATGCACCAATGAAACCTACTAAAGATGTGATCAGTTGCGCTAATTCCACAGCACAAAGTAGAGGTGGCTTAGCCCCAGTTGCACCAACAAAATTAAGCCTTGCTTAAAGTTAAGTCGAACTTAAAATCTATGGCATTAAAGACAATCGTTGCTATGGTATTTAAGTTATGCTTAACTTTAAGGGATACTTAATTTTGACGGTGAAATTAGCCCTTACTCTCACAAACACTAAACCATCTGTTCAATGGACCAAGATACGGTAACATCGGTGAATTCGTTTAGCTCAAGAAGTCAACTTAGTGAAATATTTAGGAATTCCTCACTTACCAGCTAGTGTAGGGGTCGCGATCCTGGACTGATTTTTTGACACCGCCTACATGGCTCTAGTGATATACATAATCACTTCTGATTTACGTAGATCGCTGGTTAATCAAAATCATTTGGTTGGGCATAACGCCCACTTTAAACCATAGCAAACACAAAAACGTAAAATCCAACAATTTCGTCGTCCAGAATAAAAAAACCATTAACAAAAGCTAAAGTAAAAAGGCAGAGATGATACAGCTTTCCCCATCCAAATTAAGGAAAATAGAATTCGAAACTCGTCAAACGAATGATCTGATTTTACTAGTTTCTGACATAAAATTATGATCGATATCAACGGAAAAATAATTTTTTACACCAATCACATTTCTTTCTTATGGTTCTATTGCATTTGAGGCCGATTTAATATCAAAGTTGGTTAACAAATTGCAGGTTCGTATTTAAAAAGACAGCGGATTTTAGGTATAGTACCGTATTTACAAACCACCCTTATTTTCGAGTGACTGGTAAAAAGAAAAAGTTTTCATTCAAATATATTAAAATGTTTTAACATTTAAAAAGTGAAAACCCATTCATAAAACAATACCATGTTTTAAATATAAAGAAAAGTTACCCAAATTATAAAATATAAATGGAAAAAATTGTCGAATTTCGATTGATTCCAGTTCCAAATGTTATCTGAATTTCCTCACTTTCGCACCAGCTTTATATTTCGCCTCAAAATGCGCAACTTGTATCGATTTAAAAGACGTTGCATCTCTTACGGTTTCCGAGTCATTCTCGAAATTCGGACACTCTGTACACATCTCTAAAATTAAACACACTCAGTACTTTCCTTTATACATACTTTGTATGGCAGTCGGAAAGTAAAAATAATAGTGGGTTTATACAATCATTATTCATTATCATTAGTTTACTATCATTAGATCATTTAGTCAATAGAAACAAAGTTTGTTGTGCGTCACTAGGCGCTTTCTTTCGGCTACTTCGCAATCATGATTTCGAGATTGTGATTCGTAGGATCACGTTTTACGAAAGAACGCGCGAATTTAAATCAGTTTACGGAGTACACATTTAGATTCGAATTACGTATTTTTAGCGCATTTCCACAAAAATAAAAAAAAAATGCGCTATTGTGGCCACTTTGTCCGTCCGTCCGCTAACTTTGCGACGCTACTAGTTTTTTATCTTAAGAGCTATTGTTCTACTTTTTTCGCTATTTGGTTCGTTATGGTGTCGAGTCTTGTACCAAGGAAGGAATTTTTTGTGTACAGCTTACAAAAAAAGTTATTGGAAAAAAAAACAAAAAACCGTTTTTTACATGTTCCATAATTTTACACTTTTGCCGTTTATTAACGATCCTAGAGATCGTTTATAACTTTGCATTGCTATCTGTCGCCTGTCGGTTGGTCTCTCCGTCTGTTCCTTTGTCTGTCTGTCCATCTATCTGTCCGTGTGAACGATAACTTTGTTTAGAAATGTTCGATCGCTTTTACATCTCCGTTAGTTATGAACTGAATTGCATGAAATTCAATATGGGCATAGATTTAGCCATATAATACGCAATGCCAAAAGTTGAATCGAATCGATTCAAAATTCACAGTGCCCTTTTCGCATCTCGACCATTTATAAACCGAATTGCAAACTTTTTTACTTATAAAAGTATTTGAATGAAATTTGATACATAGGCACTTGGAATAAAGGAAAATCAAACGCCAATTTCAAAATTTGGTTTTGCGCATGCGCAGTGCCAACTTTTTTATTTATGGAAGAATTTAAACGAAATTTGATACATAAGCACTTCGAATAAAGGAAAATTAAACGCCAATTTCAAAATTTGGTTTTGCGCATGCGCAGTGCCAACTTTTTTATTTATGGAAGAATTTAAACGAAATTTGATACATAGGCACTTGGGATAAAGGAAAAACAAACGCCAATTTCAAAATTTGGTTTTGCGCATGCGCAGTGCCAACTTTTTTATTTATGGAAGAATTTAAACGAAATTTGATACATAAGCACTTCAAATAAAGGAAAATCAAACGCCAATTTCAAAATTTGGTTTTGCGCATGCGCAGTGCCAACTTTTTTATTTATGGAAGAATGTAAACGAAATTTGATACATAGGCACTTGGGATAAAGGAAAATCAAACGCCAATTTCAAAATTTGGTTTTGCGCATGCGCAGTGCCAACTTTTTTTATTTATGGAAGAATTTAAATGAAATGTGATACATAGGCACTTGGAATAAAGGAAAATCTAGCGCTAGTTTCAAAATTTTATTTTGCGAATGCGCAGTGCCAACTTTTTTATCTATGAAACTATTTAAGTGAAATTTGATACTTAGGCGCTTGGAACAAAGGAAAATCTAACATTAGTTTTAAAATTTAGGTTTGCGCATGCGCAGTTCCAACTTTCTTATTTAAAAAAGCATTGAAATGAAATTCTTCGCATAAACTGAAATTGAAGTAGCACGTCAAAAATGGATTGCCCATGTGCAACGCTATCTTTCATATTTGTGGCCGGATTTTTACGATTTTAACAGAAGTTGCATCTTACAAATGGGAAATGAATGCAAGTGGAAATGCGCTTTATGTAAATCGTTTACGATTACTTTTTAACTTGTTTGTTTGGCTAATGAAAATAATTTAAATATAAGTGGAAGTGCTTGCACGATTATGCTCCTCTTCAGTTACAAATAGTGACTAACCTACCATTTGAGCATAAATATCCTTGCATTTATAGGTTAGGAATTCGTAATCATAAAACTTTTATGTTCAGTTTGTTCACGATTTTAGCAATCATGATTATAAGATCACATTTCGAAAGAACGTGATTTGACAATCCAAACGCGTTTGGATCACCGAAAGAAAGCGCCTATTCACCAACGACCTACCTTTGTTTGTATCTAATGATAATGATAATAATCATTGTATAAACCCAGCATTAGGGTTGCAAAGATTATTAAAGGTAAAATCTAGTAACCAAACAAAATAGCATTAATATGGAAATGTGTGAAATTGAAATTTAATTTTTTCTGTCAGTTAGAAATGATCTGTTCCTTGTATATTATCGCAACTATAATCCCTCCTGTCTACTTGCAAAAAACTACTGTGTCACGTAAGTGAAATCCGCATCCGTATGTAAATAATAGTACATTATATATCAAGATAGAGAAGTACAGTATTATTGCCCGAGCACCAAGATTACATCTAGGGGTGTAAGGTGCGAAGGCAATAATAGACTTCTCTACCGTGGTATATATACTATTTTTTTCACTACTAGCACTTGAAGTCCTGTAAATTAACATATTATATTGATAAGAAAGTGAACGGTTGGACAGAATTTTTTGTTTCTTAATGTAACATGACAATCAAGTACGTGGAAGTACAAGTCAAACAGGCCGTATTTTGTTCTGTCATTGAGATTTTTCAAAGAGTAATTTCGTTCGAATTTTTTCAAAATGTGATAATTTTAGGTATGTAATTTCTCTGGAAATTGCGAATGGTGGCAATTATTCGTTTTAGAGAACTTGTCTAAACGTTCATTGAGCGAAATTTCGGGTTGTGTTTTCTAAAAGTGACAGCGTGACAGTTCTCATTATTGACTACTAGTTAATAATGAAAAATTATTAACCACTTTGAAAAAATGCCGAGAAAGCCTACTTTACAAGTGGAAAAAAGGTTAATAATCATGTCATCAGACGCTAGTAGTGAAAAAAAGAAATTTACGTGGCTCACAGATACCACCCGCACAGCCCCCTGCGACAGACCAGAGCCTACTATAGTGGACCTAGACACACCGATCGATACAGAGCCTACTATAGTGACTTTTTTCGGAGAATCTGAATTTGTTATCAGAATTTCCATCACATCACTGTCAAATAAATCGTGCAGGGTGGTTTATAGCTTGCCAATAAACACCAGAAGGCATATCTAAACCCAAGATTCCATTGGTAGAGGAATAATAACAAGAAAATTCGAAAAGTGTGGTCTGTGTACTAAAGGGTTAGTTAGGGTACGGAAAATGAAATAGTATATTAAAGTACAAGTGTCATTTGACGAAGATTGTCGCACGAGGTGCGACAAGTAGACAAATGACACGTGTGCTTTATACTATTTTTTCTATTTCGACTTTTATTTTAAATAATAAATTATACAAATTATAAATATTGCCTTTAGGTGTTGTTAGGTAATTTTAAACTATCATTCAGTGTATGTTGGTAATAGACACAGTTCATTTATTTTCACGTTGGCTAACCTGATTCCTATATTTTCAAACTTCAAACTTTTAATTATTGGTCATAATTCCATTTTGCGGCAGTTATGATGAATACGGAGGACAAACACGTCTCTTGTACTCCACCAGAGGTCCAAGAGATTGCCAATGAAGCGACGTTAAATTTACTGCCTGTAAAATCGAAAGTAAAGTACGAGGAGTACAAAATTTTTGAAAACTGGCTCGCCGAGAAGGAAGTTCAAAAAGTAAGCAAGAATGTACTGCTGGCATATTTTACTATGCTAAGTAAAAATAAAAAAAGTTCTACCCTTTGGAGTATATATTCAGAATTAATCGGAATTAATACAATCGGTCAAGTTCCTCGTACGTTATTTACACTTTACAGGTTATGTTTAGTTTTGATTTGACGGATACCGTTGACGGCAAAAAAGCGAGTGGTACCAATCCAACAAAATAAAAAAAATAATACGTTTCTATTTCTTTCAGCATCATTTCTGTCTAGAAACGCACGCAAACTGGGCCAATCAAGTACGGTTTCGGTATTGTTTCCACATCGAAATAGAAAAACGAACTTTGAGATTTTGAATTTTTCGATGATATCTCAGTTATTTTCAAAAATGATCCATTTTAATTTTCTGATTTGTTTAGAAAGTTCTTGGTATCGTATTTTTTTCGTATCTGCGAATTGCGATCGTTTACAAAAAAAATAAAAATCAATTTTCTGTAGTTGGTTAAATGAAAAGTAAATCTTTTAAAATAGTGCTGGATTTATTTGGATAATCTCTTATTTTTATTACTTTTGATAGTTCGCATTTGAAATTGTATCTTGTGTTTTGCATGATTATAAATTAAACATTAACATTGTGAAATGTATGGTAAAATTATAACACTCTGTGGATCAATAACGATGGACTTTTTTAGTCATAAAATAAGGATATTAAGGAACACTTTATGTAATAGTTAACATGTACCCATTTTGTATTTTAATTCGTAAATACAATCTCTTTATCAAATAAAAAAAAATGTTTTTGTTTTGTAAGTTGTCGATTTCAAAGAAGTATAATAAAAAATATCGTTCATTACGCGTCTAGAATTACTGTTTCCGTGCTTGCAGTGAATTTGCCACGCGCACATAGAAATAGACTAGTTTTCTCCTAATAAAATATGTATACCATTTACTCGATTCCAATAGGAAAATTGCCACTCTTGAAAAATCTTGATTACTAAATCGACTCATGTTGGGGTATAATGTAGAAAACGAGTTTTTATACCATCCCCTTTTCTTCTAAACAAATAACAGTGGAGTCAGTTTCCGTAATCCGTTAATTTACTGTCAAAAGAAATCGCCCTACTATTAATTTTTTTCCTTGTTCGATATTTTTAAATGGCTGCATAAATACAAATTTTTAATATGGAGAACAACGGGTTACATTAAAAGACTACTCTTTTAACAGACAAGTGTAAAATTCGCGCGTTACACATTTAATTGCTAATGCAAAAAGAATGAGTTCTTTATGACAATTTCCCTCGTGCCCTACAGCTTGGTCTAGAGATTGTAATTGCAGAGATTTCAGCCGGACAACCATCCATAACAAATATAATAGCAAATAGCGTATTTTTTTTCAAAAATGCGCTAAAAATACTGGCTACCAGTGGGGTGGCTGGAACGTCACCAATCGCATCGATCGATCAACTCACTGGGTAACTTTTTAACGCTCATACCTGATTCAATAAATATCAGTTTTATAGCCAAAAGGGCATTTCACATTTTCCATCTTTTCCAAAATCCGCTCAGCTTACAGGACCATTAGAGTGGTACAACATTGTCGCCAAATCGGTCTGCTCCTTACAAAGTTATACGTAATTCAATAAATATCGATGTTGTTGCCTAAAAGGCATTTTGCCATTTTCGAATAGCTTCAAATCTCTAGACTATTTAAGAGTTTCAAATTTCAACCAAATCGTGCGGGTAGTTTCGCCTGAACCTTGTTTACACAAATCATGCCGCACGCACATACACACATACATACAGACATGTTTTAAAAAGCATTTTTTTGGACACCTGGGACCTTGACACGTAAAGATCTGGTGTAATCTCAAAACCAAAATTGTATAAGTGATTTCGATACCTCCCAAGTTTTTATTGGTGAGGGTAATTAAAGAAAAGTATATACTTTAAAATAAAAATAAAAACTCAGGGTTGTGTGCAGGTAAACGCAATCCAATTAACGTTATATACAACGAGAAACAAATGTTTTTCTTAGAAATTGTTAGTGATCAATAATGTAGGTACGGAACGTTGTACAGTGCGCATTATACGGTCTCTAAACAAGTATTTTTGTTACGGGATAAAGTCGGATACCTTATCACGAAAGGAATTTTTCTATTCCATTTACATTATTTTTCATTATCGTTCGTATCTCATTAAACTTGAGAGCATTCGCAAATTTCGATTCAAAGATACCCTTGTAATAATGGATATCGATTGGGGACGGTTTGTAAACGATTTTTTTACAAATTTAACAAGCGACACGCGCACGTGGACAATGAGCACATAGAATTCCCCTAAAAAAACGGCACGCGCTTTGCAAAAGGTGGTTAATTTCATATTTTAAAATGGTCACTTGCGACCCACGAAAGCGAACTTTTTCCGTACAAAATCAGTAATAACTCGGGAAGGAAGTGACTAATCCAAAAATCTTTTGTCGTTCTGGCCTCGGGGCTGTGCTACACATATAAAACAGAAACCACAACAAAAAAGCTTAAACTGGAAGATTAGTAGTGGTACAGACGGACAAAGTGCGGACAATAGCGTTTATTTTCCTTTTGGAAAATGCGCTAAAAAATAACAATAATGATGCTTCACACTCTATACGTTAATATAAATTTACAAGAAAATTTTCAAAATCAAATGCTTTACATTCATTTCTCAACAAAACATCCACAGGTAACTAGATCTTGCTAAATCAAAATGGCTATAATGGCGACGCATTCAACTGAATTTCTTTTTTTTCCCTTTATCTCATTCCGTAAATATCCAATATGGCGTCCATAAGAAATAAGCAAGTTTCCCAATAAAAGTGCCCATAGAAGGTGTCAAAGGGAAGCGTCCATTTCCGAGCGTTTAAGCTTGAGAAAATGAAAACGAAATTGGACATTTTCAGTTTTTAAATTAGGTATACGGAGTCAGGTAAAAAAACTTATCGGGCCTAACCTCATTTTTTTTTAACTAGAACACTATTTTAACTATCATATTTAAACATTTCCAGAAATGATACAAAAAAATTCAAAATGGATACCAAAAGATAACAAAATTTTGTTTAAAAAATTCAAACCTTTGTTTCAATTTTTTGTATTTTTTTGAATCATTTGGAACTTTCTAATTTTTTAAAATCTTTTTTTGAATATTATCACTATTATCACTGGATTTAACATGATATCTTTAGTCAGAACGGTATAAATTAATAGTAGATCTTAACAGGACGCAGGCACACTCCTGATCACAAAATGTGGCGTAAACCCCCTCGCAGATATATTCTTAGGCTCCGAGAATGTATGAGCCTCTGAAGCGGTCTCGGGTACCGCCTGATAATTATGATTATACCGCTGAGTGACTTTGTTAGGCCATGGTATCGACCCAACACGAAAAATCCAAGGTCCCATTGCTAACAAAAAGAGTTCGGGAGTGAACTTGACCTGCAGGCGTTGGCAGGAAGAGCAATGTGAGGCATAGATCAATGGTGACCGATATATTGGCCGAAGGTCCTGGTCAGGAGGGTCGAGACAGAACGTGCATCCCAAATAAAACAAGTGGGCGCGGTGTAAAAAAAAATAGGTATGAACTCCATCCTCTTCAGGATGTCATTTCCAACGACGCCCAAGTGTTTGTTAAAAGCAAAAACCAAAAATTATTTTGGCAGTTTAAAATTTCAAAAAAATTTGCAAAATAGTCAATAGTACAAAGTTATGGACCCCCACAAAACTACTTGTAACTTAAAAATGGGTTGACATATTAAGGGACGATTTTCGCCAAATTTGAGCCTATCAAATGGCGACTTTTTTTCTAGTTTTGCACCTATCAAAAATATTTCCTCCGCTTCTTGTAAATGTCGTATTATAGTCGAATACGCTAAACAACGTTTCAAGTATAAAAATGTGTATCAAAAAATGTGACAATATATTTCTTCAAAGTAAATGTTTTATTGATCGCTCTGTGTATTCATTCGCGTATATGGAATAAAATAACGTAAAAAGACCAAAACAGTTTTTTTTAAGTTATAGTTTCATTTTAACTCCAAATAAATGGTATGTGTTGTTTACCTTGCATTTCTAGGTATCGTCTGCTACTTAGATAAAGTAACTGACCGCAACTTCCAGCGGAAACGTGCGTTATTAAATAAACAAAATGAGAGGGTTCGCCAAGTGGAAATAGAGTAACCTATTTTTTTTTTTTATAAATAAACTTACATTTTTGGCCGCCCTCGTGTCGGAAACGCACGAGAAAATGATATCAGAGTTGTAGACGACATCGCAGGGCACGCTGAAGGTTTTCACCTGGCCCGGAGATGTAAGATCTGCCTGCTCTTTCACTTCCTCCGCCTGTAAACAAAAAAAGACAATTTGAATAAGCGCGCGGGAAAGCCAGAGGGCGTAACGGTTTCTGGGAGAAGGCGTGCAGAATTCATTGCCACGCTAAAGGACAATTCGAGTACATTGTACTTTACACCGATAGATGCTATAAATAAACCGTGTTCGATAATTTCGTTTTATTACATTAAAGTCTGCGGTGCCGTGCCAATTTATGACACGGGTAACAATTTCATGTAACGTTGAAAATCAAGGTCAGGGAGACTGCGAGGCGCAAAATCTGGGTATCAAAAAACGAGTATTGATCGCGCTACGTTGTTGTTGGGTGTACGCCCGCCATTGATGATGATAGTGTGACGAATATATCGGGATATGGTCGCCATTTTTCGATGAATGCACATAAACTGTATCGATTATAATAATAAGCTCAATTAGCATAGAGCGGGCAATCATAAGAAGGTCGCCATTTACGTATTGCGCTACGAAAAATGTTGACAAATTTAAATTTGGGATTACCTACGCTTTTTTATTTAGGCGTAATCATTCGGGAAAATGTAGACGGACTCCCCTTCGTCCTAAAATGAACTCGACCGACTGCTTTCCCACTAGGACAGCTGAGCATAGCGTTCGAGTAAAGAAATGTGCAGGCAGCAGGCAGCGTTCGGGCAGTTTCTCGTATTAACGGTGCTGCTGTTGTCGTGAATTTGCCAGTAATTTTTACAATAAAGAGTTCGTAGGGATTAGTTTCTTGTTGTTAAGTGCTACGTGTTTTTTTTAATTACAATCGCGCCCGTATGGGTAAGTCGGCGACGCGTCTAGTATTAATTATCATCGTTAATTTTATGTTAAATACACGTCACGTACACTTTCTACATTTCGAAATGAGACCAGAAACTAAAATCCTTGGCATTTCTACGGCTTTATTAAGTGTTTTCTTTGTTGAAAGATAATAAGCTTCCCGTTATCGTCGTCCTTGAAGTTCCTTAATCCGAATTTGAGCGCCGATAACAAATTAAACGGATAATTTGCGTTTAATTTTTACGGATAAACCAACGAGATTCGCAAACATACGGAAATTTTAATAAATTGCGTTTCTATATGGGCAAAGTTCAAGATCAGAGGGTGCGCGACTTGCAAGCCCTGCAGGGGCAAATTATATTCGCATCCTATGACTTACGCCCACGTGGTTGCACAAATAAAATCGATCAAAACTATAAAACACCTTCATTAAAATATCCAATAATCCACGCGCATCAATAATAAATAAGGGCCGATTTTCCGATAACAACGGGGAAAAATGATATGATTTTTTTATCTCGATTATTTTGGTTCCGATTATGGAATTGTGGGAGTTGTAATAATAGTAGCTCATGACAATTCCTCTCATTTTTGTTGTAAACCACACGCGTAGTAAAAAAGTTACCCTAAAAATATGAGGACTTCGATTAAACAAGCTCTCCAAGGAGATTAATCATAAACATATTTGACCAATCAATCATATAAGGGTGTGTCTTTTGCGCCACTAAAAAGGTTAACATGATGTGGGAAAGAAAGAACCGCTTATGAAGAAACGAGGCCGAAGGAAAAAATGTTTCACCACCTCCCCTCGTGACCGTGGGGCTTGAAATTTTAAATGTGTATAAGTATATGTTTAGGGGGAGACAGATCGTCCCTACCATAGTAAAACCCATGACCCTACGTTCATTTTTTTGAGAGATTAAATTTTTGTCTTGCATTCGGTTGCCAAAAAATCCCAGGCACTTTTCAATTAAACAAAAACAGTCCTTATGGTACACCCAGTTCTACTACTTTAATTTTACACTGAATGTCCTTTGGGAAATTTGGTCTGTTTTGACATATCAATCCAAAGCCCCAATGAAAAAATTAAAAAGCGCATTTTTAGAAAATTTGGTTACAGAATTGATACAGAATGTCTATATAAAATCGAGCTGAGCAAATTCACATGAAAAAAGATATCAAAGCAAAAATATTTAAATTAAAAACGTCTCGTGCCAAATTCACTATTAGCTCAATTTGCATTTAAAATACAAGTTAAGCTTTTTTATCCGTTAAGCATAATTAATAGGCGATTACGGGAATTAAATTCAGGTAATTAAAACTTCGAAAAAATTGTACTTTATTATTTTAAAATTCAAATATGGTAATTTTCGAATTTCAAAAATTAATAAATTTTACTACTGCTTAAATGAATGAAGCTTTTTCTTCAAAAATGGGGGAGTGGGGTACCATGGTCCTGTTATACTCGGTAGAAATGGAAAGCCGAAATCATATAAACTAAGCGAATTAAAATAAAAATTAATCCTCAAAGATACGTCATTTTGAGTTCACTAAATTGACTGACCCAATATCCTACATCTACAGCAACAGTACGCCCTCCCCATATCCTTTGCCGTATAAAAAAAAGTTCAATTGATTTTGTATGTGATTTAGTACAGCCAATTTCGGGGGTATACAAATTCTGAAACTTGGTGCAATGTCGGAAATATGTATTTTTCATTTTGAAATAGAACTAGAACAAATGGGGATCCGAAAAGTTAATTTTTTACTCCGCACCGTGTAACGTTGAAACTAGTGGCGTTCCTTCGATTTTTCCGAGTTTGTATACGAAATTCTTAAGGGAAGGGCGGTTTGAAATGTCCAAAATTAATTTAAAAATCCATCAAACTGCCATTCTTGATCGAACATCAAAAACGGGAAGTCACTGGACACGCTCTTTGTGAAAATGGCTGAGGGAAGAGGAAACTACTTTTCAAAACGACTTAAAAAAGTGATGAGCATATTATTATGGGCCTAAGTGATTACGAACATTAGCGTTCTCACATGCGCCGATTAATTACACTTGTTTTCTTCAATTTTAAGTACTTAAATTGAAATATTGGCCCATATGGATAAAAGGGAGCATATGCTTACAAAATTCAAAGTAAATACTCGTAAGTGCTCCTTCACACTGGGCGATTTAGCAGCGCTGCTGAGCAGTAGGACAGGACCTAGTGTAGCGCTGTTAAACAGACCAGTATGAAGGGGCAGTTACGAGTATTTACTTTGAATTTTGCAAGTATAAGCTCCCTTTTATTCATACGGGTTCTATGTGACATTGTTTACACTTCCCACTGAATAGGAATTTGAGGACAAATCATTTGACGAACAACTATTTGAGTCATGGGTAGTGAGAATCTACAGGGTGTTGTTTTTTCCATTTTCTATCTCTGAATTTTTTTTTGGTGCGCCACTGGTAGATTGTGAAACAAGAATTTAATTTTCCGATTTATTTAGAAACTTTTTGGTCTTTTGTAATTTGTTCGTATTTGTGACTTATCGAGAAAAAAATAAAAATCAATTTTCGGTAGTTAAATGAAACTAAAATTTTGGGGATTTCCGCACTTTTATTTCCATTAGTTACCTTTTTCCATTAGTTACCGAGAAAAGAAAATTTTGAGGCCTACAAAAGCAAGATGAAAGAACGTGTTTTGACTCCCCCTTTGCACATATTTATGTGCGAGAACATTTTATAGATCGCGGTATCGATGAATGCTCTCCTCTCGCACCGGTTCAAAATTACACAAATGGAATAACTTCGATAATGAGGGTGTGTTAAATAAAACGCTGGAATACATATTTGTTGAAAAAAAATTTGTATTATTATACCCTCGATTGTACCTTTTGAATGTACTCGTGTTTAATTCAGAGATATCAAGTCTGTATAAGTACCCCAACCAATTAGATTAATCCATTTTTTTTTCAATCAAGCATGGCATTAGGTTTGACAATTTCATTTGTCAATTATGTCATGAGTAAGAATTTCAGTTACAAGCTATCGACCTTCTCGAATAATTAAACCGCAACTTTACTTTCCCAAAACCTAATCTTTTTTAAGTAACGGTTCAGAGTGCAAAGACGTTTAAATATTGATTACAATGTCGAGTAAACAGTTTCTAACAATGTTTATTATTGCAGGGAGCCGAAGAAAGCAAATGAAACGATGATTGTAAATAAATTATGGGTAATAACCGGCGGTTAAACAATGTCGGTTACGTTGTCATCTATTTGACAATAATATTGCCGGTATACGTAAACGGAAATGGGGATTTGTGCGTACAGCCCAATCCGTCGACGCTCATCTGCCGAAATGGGCGGGTCGGGGACGTCGTCGTACCACCAAGCGTGGTGTTTCTCAGACTCATTAACGTAACACACAGTACGACTCTGCAGCTGAATAACGCGAAAAAATTAGAATGGATTAACAGTAATTTAAACACGACAGATTTTCTGGAATCGCCCGAGAGTTTAGAATACTTAGATATAAGTGGAAATGACTTCGTGTTTTACGAGGACGAGTGGCCTTTTCAAAATTTCTCAAATGTGAGAACCGTTAATTTGTCTTACAACAAACTTAGTGATCTTCCACGCATGGTTTTCGTAGGCTTAAACATTGAAGAATTATGTTTGTCAAATAATAATTTGTACGCGATTCCCTTTCAAGTTTTTGCTCCCATGGAGCGCCTTCGAGTATTAGATCTGTCGTACAATTCCATTGTTAGTTTTTTGGATCATTTTTTTTTGTTTAATAAACGCATCGAAGTATTACACTTGAACAATAATAACTTGGCTATACTAACTTCAAACGCACTTGCCGATTTGACTAACTTGAGGCAACTTGATTTGTCCAATAACGCGCTGGTATACATATCAAAAGGACTCTTCGACTCCCTGAATAACTTGCGGTACTTAAATTTGGCCAACAATCCTCTATCAAATTTGGCGGCTTGGACATTTCGTGGCCTCTATGGATTGGAAGAGTTGAATTTGAGCGGATACGAGATGAAGCAACTCACGTACGGTTTATTCCATTATAGCCCTCAGATAAGGTATTTGACATTGGACAACACCTCCATTGAGGTGATCCACAACACGGAACTGTTGGGACTGAAACAACTGCAATCGCTACGTATACGAAACAACACCTTTCTGAAAGAGATTGAGCCGTACGTATTACTGGACACTCCATTCATCAAACATCTTGATATCCGAGGAAATAAGTTGGCATTTTTACCATTGTCGTTGTCAAACTTAACCCATATCGAATATCTCAATATTGAACGCAATCCATGGGGTTGCGATTGCAGAATGATGTGGTTCGCACCGTGGGTCGATAAACACAACAATCTAACTCTTTCAAAACTGAGCTGTGGCCCGCACGCTTACCCAAACGACATGATACCAACTTTAAAACATCTGAACTGTTCCGGACCGCAAATTACGTACAAGACCCCTACAAACCAATACCGTCTCAAGTCGAACGCGTTGCTCGAATGCCGCTTTGTGGCGAATCCAAATCCGTCAATAACTTGGGTTACACCTTCGCGCGAAGTTTACCATTGGCCATCTCAAGCAGTCTACCACTGGAATCCGGATATAACGGTGGCCGACGTTTTTTACAAACATCCCCGTGTGCATGACGAATTCCTCAATGCCATACGCACCGTTCCTCCTAGAATACAAGTCTTAGAAAACGGAACACTCTACATTCAAAACGTGACGCGTGAAGATTGCGGCAGGTACTGGTGCTACGCCAGCAACCCCGTAGCGAACTTGACCTCGGAAGTTTTACTCCACATCGACCCCACGGACTGGAACAACATCCGAATTTTGAGCATTATTGTGGGACTTCAGTGCGCCTTCGGATTTCTCGCACTTACCCTGATCGTCCAATTGCTGCGATACATACTGAATAGGTTAGTATCGGCACACCAGACCCTAATAACCGCCGCCTTCTTTACAGATTTGGTATTCTCAATCACTGCTGCAGTTTTTGTAAACGCGACCGAACGTCGCCTCGCGCTCGCCAAATATACGACATGCTAGACAATATCGAGCAATACAAAAGCCAACAACTGGAAAAGTTGCGCGAGAACTACGCTCAACAGGTACACCCCCAAGCCAACCCACCAGCTCTAATCTGGTACTTTTAGGTCAACCGAATTAAGGAAAACTGCATCCAGCAAGTGGAATGGATCCAAGGTAGCTACCAGACGCAAGCGAAACACTTCCGAGACCTTCGGGAGTACGGAACTCAGCACCTCGTCACCTTGCGCGACCAATACTACGACCAGGTTCGTTTGCGAATTCCTCCACCGTAATTCTTCAATTTTATTCTGCAGGTCCGAAAGGTGCGCGATTACTCGACGGGTCAATTAAATTGGGTGCGCGAGAATTACGTCTTTCAAAGAAACAAAATTCGCAAATTTAGCGCGCATAAAGTGTTACGTTTGCGGGAATCGTACAAATACCAACAGCAAACCTTGAATAAGGTATTGGAAAATCTTCCAAGTCTCTACTTCGATAACTGTCGCGCTGGTACGTGCGGACGAGCGGAATCGAGTGTCTTCGAGGTCGACGAAGTGAACGGTATCGACATGTACATTAAATCAAAAATCGAACAATTGGCTCAGCTCGACGATCTGACGGATTGTGCAACGCAGAGTAGGCTTTCCCTGTACTACACGCCGACCGAGCGATCGCTAGCATCCAGAACCGTCTCGCCGCCGGCCGGTGTCCACATCAATTACATCGAAAGAAAACCCAAATTCCCAGACCTTCAGGATTGGAACAGAATGGGAGCGAGCTCCACCACTATGGAAAATCTTCCCGACCTCCAGGATACCGTTGATAAGTGTGATATTAAATCTAGTGCTAGTTTACCAAAATTGCCTTCATATGAAGAACACATTATAGAGCATATCAATCAGTATGGAGATTGCAAAAACGACGTTGAAACTGCTTTGTAGCCCACTTTAATAATAACTTGTGACAGCTGTGATAAGGTGTGAGTGAAACTATCACAGTGTAGAGTCGTCAGCTATGGTGTGCCAATCGACTTATTATATTGTTAAACCGTTCAGTATTTTCAACACATTATTTTGCAATTATCTCTTCTAGTTGATTGACAATTTGGGGCCGTCGCAATACCACTTTACTTATACCCGCTAATTTTGCAATAATCTTAATAAAACAAGACTAAATCAAAAATGCCCATACTAGACTTGGATATACCTAGTCAGTGCTTCACCTATCAATTGGAGACTGAGCAATTAGAATTTACGTTTGCTTTTAGCAAGTACCTAATTTAATGACAAAAAAATGGTAGCAATTGCAATTGATGGATACTTAGGAAATGTTTTTAATTTTTTTATAGATTAATATTAAAATGCCAAGAGTAGCTCTTAGATAAACTTTAAGTGTTAAGTAGATGATCATAGTTATAAGTGAATTCTACACTGGAATAGAAAGTTTTTGCGGGTACCAATTCAAAGGAAACTATTTTTCTTAAATAAAGAGAGACAAGAATTCTGAACTTGGGGGAAAATTGGCTAACTGTACGCTCTCTTCTTCCACAGATTAATTTGCGGTTAGCCACCATCCTAACGTATTGAATGTTTATTATGTACCTTTTGTGATTTATCTACATGTAAATTATATGGCATGTACTTGTTAATCAAATAAAAGCGAGAAGCTATATTCATTTATAAACGAAAATTGACGTCTTACCTTTTTCGCGGTCCTATTCCATAAATTCACCTTGTGCCCGGAGTTGATCAAATTCTTTACAATTCTCGATCCCATTATGCCCAATCCGATGAAACCGAAGGTTTTCGTCGAGGCTTCAATTTTCTTACTCTTAAAACTTTCGGATATGCTGTTAATATCCAACGAAGGGGACGCCTGAAAACATATACTCTAAATGTGTCGACTGTACCAATACAAAAAAAAACATTAAAAAAAATATCGACACCATTATTTGGAGGGTTTTCTATTACAAGAGATCAATGACTATCTAGGCAGTTTAAACGTGAAAATAAACACTCTTCTATTAGCGCCAAACTGGATTTTTGGAATCCTGATTCTGATTATCAAGTTTTTTATGTGTTAAAACTTTTTAAAGTGAGAAATTTGATAGAATCCGGCCTCAGTAGTGACTGATGATAATGATCAAATCACAAATTACCTTTCTAACTCCTTGGCCATTCAGATTCCCGCTTTTTAAATAATTTCTGTCCACCACTGCACGTTTCGTATTTTTCACGCAATTAGAAGGCATTTATGAATTTTTTCCCATGACGTTGCAAGTGTGGGTCGTAATCCAAAACACGTGATCAATAAATAAAGTAATTCCAAACTAAAAATATGAATAATTGAAGCAACGAAAACGGTTAATTTATCGAACAATATTTCATTGGCTTTTGTCACAGAACGACCGAGGCGAGTATATTTGAAGTAGCAAGTAGAAAAACTTTAGGAAATGAAACCTGTCACAAATGGCGCAAATTGGTCCTTCAAACCGTATCAATTAGTTCGTGTTCTTAGAATGGCGGTAAGGTATAACGATAAACCTGCGTATGCCGAATATCATACGCATGCAGCTATTTTGTACCCGTTGGATACGCTTTGCAACGTCTTGCGTTATAGACCACCAGTTTATAACAACCGCAATACCTCCGCCACTGGTTTGGGGTCGAAAAAAGTCCATGCGGAAGTAACTTGCCTTCTTGCACTCCCTAATTGTTTCCGAACGCCATTTTGCTCTCAATTTCAACACAATTTTGGCTGTTTGTACAGACAAATGAAAGCATTACCTATCATTATAACACAATTAATATGTCACAACTCACAACAGATTAGTTTTAGTGATAAATGTGTAATTCGGTAATGATGTTTCCGCTGTGTTGTAAAATTTCAGGAAGTAACTTTGCCAATCCCTGTCCTACTTAAATCTTCCAGAAAATTGCAGACATAACATCGCCGTTCGTTAATTCACGTGTACTCTATTGCTACTATAAACTTTAAATACTTTCAAATTAGACCTTTAGATTTAATGTTATATTTTTAATTTATTCCGTCCTGAAACGAGGCGTATGTAGAATGTTTATTTAGGACAGTTAAAGTATTTGATTAAGCATCTGTGAAGTTCTTTTCGTACAGCTTCCCTCCTGGCGTTCATAAAAATTAAACAGAGATTGATTGAATAGTTAGTATGAATTATCTTGCTCTCTTGAAATGATTTCAAACTATACAGGGTGTTACTCGAGATATGACCGATTTCATTTATACTGAGGAAAGGGTAGCTTTGTTATTAATTAATTGATGGTAAATATAACTAGGTGTTAACGATATGTAAAATATAACAAAGAATTAAAATATTACTTTGTTGAATACCTCCACAACGCGACTCTCAATTGTTCTAATTTGGCTATTGCAATCCTGAGCATAAGTACTTTAGCTAATTTAATTAACTATTGAACAATTATTATAATTAATGAACCTTTTCTAATAAACATTTTTCTGTATATCCTTTCAACTGAGAAAATATAGGATCATTCTGAAACTGACCATTTTTTGATTTTCCCCCATATCTCTTTAGCCAGCAAATATTTTCAATTTTGATTTTACCATTCTAAGTTTGACCCAAAAAAGAACTAATGACGCCCATATTAGTTTTTTGATAGCTATGGAGATACCCTATAAAAGTGTTAAAAAATGGTGTCCCACCTTTTGCACGCCGTTAAATTTAGCGCTAGCATATTTGCCCAACAAACGTATCGGCAAATTCAGTTTTCGAAATATAGGTCAAACCGGAACTGATACAAAAATGCTATTTAGTGAATTTATTTGTTTTTATTCATTGTTATATTCAATATTCTGCCAAGTTACAGAAATCAGTCTGTTTTACATACGATATCATCGGGAGTAAAAACAATGATTGAAAATAGATTAAAATAGATCAGTTTATGATACTTTGGTATAGCTTCTTCATTCTTTGATTTCAGAAAAGAAGTTGGAAAGTACTCGAGGCGGCGAGCTATTTATGCGCGTTTTTGTGCGACGGATCGAGGTTTTATTACTAAAGAATTCTACGATGATTCCTTCGAAAGTATATTTAAAAAACCTTTGCGGCCGACCGAATAACCAAAGTTAAAATAGACTGAGTCCAAGATAATGATGTCTATCATGAGGATCTCTGAAAGCATAGAAGATACGACGATGCTCAAATTATAGAAAAGATGCGCAATTAATTAAAGAAATCCACAAATCTCCGATTACTTCCGAAGATATGTCCGGTTGTCTATGACCATTTCATTGCACATCTTTTCTCTAATTTGACGATCGTCGTATCTTCCATAGTTTCGGGAATCTCCACGATAGACATCCTTATCTTGGACAGTGTATAAAAAACAAAAACGCGCTAAAAAAAACGAAACGAAACACTAAAGACCGGTTGCACAAACATATTCGATTTGGGTTGAATCCTGATTTTCGTGTTAAAAAACGTGATTCACTAATTCACGTTTTCGTTCTCGAGTCGAGGGGAGTTAAAAAAAATTAACTGTGAACTAAAGGCGCACAATCATGGAGTATTTTTAGCTTTCAATAATCTAAAAACGCATGTTATGGGGGAAATGTCGAAGCAGCAAGTCAAGTTCCAGCGGTGTAACGATGTATGTACTTGTATTTTTACGTTATTAGTTATTACCTACTTACATTAAATTCATTAGTCGCAATTAAGTGTTACATTAACCAGTGTCCAAATCCAAATTTGATTTTGTGTAGCTATATTTTTGTAAAAACAAAATGCATGTTCACTTAATGATGTACCAGGATCACTCGATGGAAGGGTGCATATATTTTTCATGGAGGCAGTTGGAGATACAGGGGTAAATGCTAAAACTAAGCTAAGCTTCTCCCTAGCTATCTAAAATCTAAATGTGTTTTTGAATTTTTTGATTTTTTAAAACAAAGTACAATCGGCGGTTCGTTTTAGAATGACAACCATCTCCACAAATATGGATTAAATGAAATAATGCGCCGACCGCTACTCGGACAGATGGACGGCGAAATTAAAGTGCTAACGTTATAGGAAGTGGAAATATTATACTTTAGAAAGTGCTAACAATAAGGTACAGAAAATTCAGTCAGAATGCAAATATTTTGTCCCATAAGTACAGAGGATACGATAAAAATATATGACGTGAAAACTGTGAAAAGAAATTCAATCTGATCTAGATAAGACCCCGCGTAAACTGTTCGACATACTTAACACTAACAAGACAAGTCTACAAAATTTCCCCGAAACGCCAACATTAGTTCGTGTACTTCCTTTACACCGAATAGATCTCAAGAGGACCTGGAAACATTTGAATTATTAAAATTTGTTTAAATTGCTGGATGGTTGCGGAAATATTTATTGCATTAGAATTTCTTGTAAAAGGAAGTTAACAGTAGACACGTAAACAAGTTTTAATGTTTACACAACTTGAAAGCCTGCCATGCCGGAATTGTGTCATTTAATAGACAGTTGGCTTCTCACTACTCCCAATCATAACAGGTTCATCTGAACTTCTATTTGATGTAACTAATTCACGTCCGTGAATGCAAATTCAACTGATATGTGCACATTTGTGTTGTTATTGCACAAATGGCGTATAATTTTGTAGAGGTAATAAGATTTTGAAACGTTTCCAATATACTAGGTGTCTGCAAACACCTGGATTAAACAGAGGTGCGGCCCAAATTTTGGAAGATTCGCAAAAAAATAGATCTGCATTATGGATTACTTAAATATACCTACGAAGACAAGGACTGCTAGAAAAGTTGCTGTGGCTGTATGAGGAAGCCGATGTTTCTCGATTGTCTTATTGGTAAATGTGTCACTCTTCAATTGATAGTTCACATCTGTTTTCTTACCACAGCGTTCAGAAGAAAGAGGTTCTGTGACAAAATGGAATTCATTGTAGAAAAAATTTTCTATTATTATACCGGGTGTAGCGTCCGAGATGTACGTTGACAATTTTGCGAGAAGAGCGCTCAACAGGTTTTGGTCATAATTTGGATATGCATACGGAAACTAAAAATAACGGCGCAGATTTTTTGAAGACTTTGGAGGGCCGCACAGATGTAGGCGGTGTAAAAAACGGCACATTTTATATGAAAAGAAGCAGACTTTTACGGTCTTTCAAATGGGATAATAAAAAATGTGTTCTATTCAGAAAATTAAGTTTTTGATGTTTCTGTAATGGGATGAACGCCACTGAACTATTAAGTTTTAGAATGAGATGTAGAATATAAAACGTGAATAAAAAAATTATTTATTTATTTATTTGTTTGGCAGACACCATACAGAATGCAAAGCATTCCAATTACACGGCACTGGGATGCTGTACTTAAGCTAGAACTATCAAAGTTCTCGTGTGAGATTGAAGGAACTTCAGCGCAATTTAGTGTGGCACATCAGTATTCTATTTGCCAGTTTTGACTCCACCAACACTAAGATCTTGTTTAAGGCTACCACATTCCCTTTGTCGGTACCCACTTCCGACGATACTAATTTGAATACAATCGGACTAAAACTGAAAGAGAGGAAAAAACTGAAAAATCACCACGGCTCGGGGATGGCGCCAAGATGTCGCCGACCCCACATAGTGTAGCTCCGTTCTTAAAGTTGTTAATTACACGGCCGGGTAGGTACATGTACACTCCTTGTCTTTTTACAAGCGTTCTTCTACGGGCCCACATTTGCTGCCAGCCAGTCAGCCAGCCAAAGTGAGAATAAAAGCTACCTTTTTTACAAATAAATTTGCAAAAATGCGCCAAAGAGTCATGCCATTTCAAATAACAAAATTTAGTGTCGACTTCCTTATTTTTATGTGTAAAGTTTAATAAAATTATTTTTTACAGTTTCCGAAAAACGCCTAACTGACGCTCGTCGTGAAAGGCACTTGCTGAAATGGCAATACGGCGGCCACTTTACTTTTGACATGGGCGATGAGTTTGCCATTATTAGAACTACCTAGTCAGAATTGGTGAGACAAACACCTATGCGATTGAGACAGTTGAGTGTGAGAATATGAATTAAAGATAAATAATTCAAAACCATAAATAAATGGGTTACCTCAAATGTGGAGTCATCAAATTTCTATTGAAGTGAAGTTCCATTTCGGTTTTTTGTTGAAATAGAAATTCTAATAAAACAAAATACGAATCAATTCGGCCACAGAATAGCCACATTCTAACTGATGAATAATAATATGTGCACAGCAAGTAAGCAACCCTGTGAGGGTGGAAATTTTTCCTGGAACAATGAATTCAAAACAACATATTTCTTGAAGTAGCTTTTTGATATTCAAAATTATAAAAAGTTTGCACTTCAAATTTGTGGTCAGTGGGGTCAAAGGGAGCAATTTCTTTAATAGCAACCACACCTTTTTATTACATATTCTTGCAGTTCACACCAATTATCCTGCTATATCCAAAATAGTGTATTCTTTAGGAACATGTATCAAACTGTACTATGTGGATGTTCACAGCGGAACTCAAACGCCACTTCTTTGAATATAAAGGGTGTCCAAGAGAAAAATGAAAACCACAAGTTACCAATCTGTTATATGACAAAAAAAATTGTACAAATTTACAGAGCACACACATTTGAACGTTAAGAAAAAAAATTCTAAACGGTATCGAATGTGTACACTCGTGCATTCAGTGTGTATAATTGCCTTTACACATATACATACAACATTATACAGGGCGAGTCAAAAAGTAAACCCCACGCTGTATATTACCTAGAGGGATGATATATTAGAATAATTTAGTCTTTTAAAATCACCCGGCATAAGATTAAGGATCCGATTGTAGTAGCCTATAGTAGACGAACCATAGTTCTTCTTAATTAATTAACGACAATAATTTCTGTATTACCAGTCATGTATAAACAAAGGCAATCAATGCAAAAGATAAGATAAATATTCATTGAAAAACTGCTTGGTTCTTAGAGAGGTCTTCGTAAGTCAAAGATTCATCTATAAACAAAAGTTTAGTTTACGCCGACATACAAGAACAAAACAATTTTTCGGTACTCTAAGAAAAAAAATGTACATACGGGTTTCTCCACCAAAGGGCGATTAAGGAGTTCTTCGTAATTTTTAGGTACATGATTCGATAAAACAGGTGAAATTGCTCCGTTCTCTTCGCTTTGTGAGGATTTGCGTTTTTTAGATGCCTTAGGTGTAATTGCAGTGGACAGCCGCTTGGTGCCTCCGGTGGATTCCTAAAACAAAAATATGAATTCAATAACATTGGTGATTATGAAGGCTTCCATTCTCAAACCTGGGATTCACTTGGTCACAGGAAGCGTCTACCAAGTTGCCCAGCGGTCATTTTACATTTCTAAAATACCATAACAAAATCGGAGTAATAAAAGAAACTTTGAACACGCTTGAGTAACACAAGCAGCTGCATCCGTAATGTTAAAAATTGACAAGGCACATTTTTCCTAATTGCTTTAATTTGCACGTGCAAGATGCCATAAGTAATGCACAGTGAGGTGGACGGAGGCAGATATTCAAATAAATACACCCTTCGCTTTTAGTTATCCAGTTTCTTAAATTGCTGAATGGATCAGTGTATCATGAGACTGATATTCCCACTAAGTTGCTTAACAATTAAGACCTACCAACTACAGGGTGTTTAAATTTAAAGGAATTAAAACAATCATTTGTTATCTAGGAATAATTCAGAACATTTTCAAATCTTGGAAGACTTTTTTTATGACAAACCTTTTTTAAAAATATTCAAAAACGGGGTTTCATGTTCACTGATCTGCAGGAATCCAATTTTGTCAAAATCATTTTTTTCTGAGTTTGGGAATTGGCGAAGAAAATCGAAAAGAGTGTACCAAATCTCACCCTTTTTTGTAACAGCTGCTGAGAAAAAAATGTATTATTATTTTATTCGTAAAAATGTTCTTTTTTGTTGCAAATACTGCCAGTCGACCATCTAATTTTTTACACACTTACGTCTTACACCCTGTGTATTTTTCTTTAAATATTTTTTAATTTAATATTCACATTATGAAGAAATGAATGCTGTCAGGTCACTGACTCATAATAATTGGAAAAAATGTTTGAACGGTTCACCTATTTTCTTAGGGCAATTTTATAAAATTGAAAAAAAACTGCTTTTAGGGGAATTGACCTAGATTTTGAAATAGGTAGCCTACACGTTAAAGATGTACCAGATAGCCTCCAAATTTTGCTACCCCACCTCCCACCCATCCGCAAGAATTATTTCCAGAGATGCAGTTTCTGAAAATAAAACGTGCGACGAACAATTAGTTTTGCATACGCATGTCATGTCAATACGCCAAGTATAACCTCTAAGGGGGGGGGGGGGGGGGGGACACACGTTCTACCCATCAGATGTTTCATCGACAGGGATTTTTATCTATTTTCCGTTATACTAACAAAACTTGGAAAAAAAAAGAATTATACATTTAAACAAAAAATACAGATATACAAGGGAAATGGAGAGGGGGTCATGGATATGCCATTTTCATTCATTTTTTTACCCGAACAGTTGATGCATTGCTGATCTGGGATCTGAAGTTTCTAATTGATATGCTTGGCCTCAAATAAAAAGGCATTTTAAATGGTTTCTATAAACTATACCTGTCCTCCGTGACTCATGTTGCAGTTAGGACGGGGTTAGCGCAATTGGTTTTATCTTTCATTTCAAATTAAAAGTCTCAACAAAAAGAACTGTTTTCTACCAACTACGGCCCTTCTCACTTATCAAAAGGGGGGGGGGGGGAGCTGGTTTTATCCTTTATGGTACTCTAATGACAGGTCTCAACGAAATATATACCAACCACAGCCTCCTTTTCAACCTCTCATCGTGATCGGTTATAATTCCTGTTAACTAAAGAGCGGAGTAAAGAACCCCCTTCCGAGAAGCTATGCCAAGAGACTAAACATCGATAAGTATAGCATGCTACTACCTTATAACCCAATTATTTACTATAATAAGCTATTTTGGTTTAAGAATTGTATACAATTTATACTTGCTTATATAAATGTACTAACTTTTATGCAATAATAAAGCAGTGAAACAGAGCTAACCTACCGTTTGACGAAAATTGAATTAAAAAATCAGTTTCAGGTTAATTCAATTCAACCAAAAGCTTAGTCATGAACCAAAACCTTATTTTTTATGGTTTATAAGTAGTAAGCCATGGATTCAATGCGATTTTGTTTTGATTATTGTGCCCATGGTAACTAACATGGGATACCAATTAATAAAAATGGCTGACGCAAAAAAAATGCAAAAAATGTACGTAACAGACTGTATACCTTGAAGTGAATTTTTGCATTTTTTTAAGCGTACCCTGATATGTTCATAAATAAATAAAATAAAAACTTATCGTGTAAACATCTTTAATTTTTTCTCAGCGACCATAGCAGCTAGGAAGATGGAATTAACGGATTTGCTTAGGTTATTTATTTTTGAAAAATTACATAAAAAACTGTTCCAATTTTTAAAAATTTATTCCATATCTCCAAGATGAAAAACCCACAAGCACTAAATTACGTCGAGGTCTGAATTATTTTGCACCTTCGTCCTCCGTGTTCCATTTTTCTACATGTTTTGATTTCTGAGAAAACAGTTAAATAAGAAACACAATTTTTGGGACTTTGGAGGGCGTAGCTTCCAAAAAATCCATTTGGGTGGAGGTGGAAAAATGTTTGCTTTTTAACAACTACGTCAACGGTTGCGTGGAGAGCTATTATGGTCCGAAGGAAGGATTTGGTAAGATTTGTATAATATGAATATTCTGCACATTTACAAAATATTTTAAATATACAGGATGCGATCATAAAGTTCAAAAGATAAATTTAAGTCTTTTATACAAGGTGGAACACTGAATGTATCTTCAAAACGACATTTATTTAAAGAAGCTTTTGATGGTATTCAAAATTATAAAAAGTTAGCTGCCACTCTATGTACTTTAAATTTGTGGTCAGTGGCTATTTCTGCATAGTCAAGGGAGGCATATAATGTACACTTTTTTTGGATACAGCAGCAAAAAGTCTGCACTTTAAGAACCTGATTAAAAATAATGGTTGCTATTAAAAAATAATTTATAAATAATAAATTATAAATAATAACAATATAAAATTAAATTATTATTTATGAAGTCAAATGCAACAAAAAAACATATCTATGTTAAAAAATAATCATAAATAATTACTTCATTTTATATTTCATTATTAATAATTAAGCATGAATACTAAGATATATCGAAAACCATTGGAGATGCACATAGGACATAATTTATTAATGTTAAAGATTATTGAATATGTTAAGTGATACAACAAAAATATATAACGTGTTTCCCGGTCCGGATTAAAAAAAATAAAGTTGATGTTATCTAACAACTGAAACTTAAAATATATAGAATATTCTTCAATATTTTCATACAAAAGCACAATCTCTAGAAAGCCTTTGTTAGGATCATAACGGCAGTCAGCATAATTGTTGACTCATCCTGTACAAATTGGAAAACACCTTTGATATAGTGTAGGTACCGTACATGAAGTTGGTCAGATTCGGTAAAAAGGTTACCATTACGAAAAAGTGCTAACACATAAAAAGTAATGCTGTCAAGAGGTGCAAAAAAATACAAAAATATCCACGATGTTCCATTTAAAAATTCATTAAGGAAGAAATTAATGTAATTACATCTCCCTCCAAAGGCTGAAATGGAGAAATACATACATTTCATTAAAAACACTTTACGCCTAAAATATTCGCTTCTTATACCACAAAAGTTTTATTTAATAAATTTTTCTCTAACCTCACCATTTGGGCGCTATCGGTCGCCCACCGAAGATTGAGTCACTATTACCATTTTGTTGTGATACCGTTTAAAAATTTACAGAAAATATATTTCTTTGTTTTGGAGTGCACTCTATCTTCATTGCAACATTTCTTGAGAGAGTTCGAACTTTTCAGGGCACAGCAGTCGGCCAGCCGTATTTGTTGAGCACCTAGTAAAATCACTAACACTTCAAAAGTGCTGGATTTAATTACGGTGTAGGTATAAAAACTTAAATGAAGACATAACAAACATACAATAAAATGATTTGGAGACCGAATAATTAAAAACACCCTGTAGAACCACATCCCAATTGAGTATAGATGCTATTAAAAATGACGAACATATTAACACAATTTTAGCATCCAATTTACAATGATACTGCCAGTACTGTAACCATTCATTTGGTAATTGTATGATCAGATAAAAATGAACCGATGGCTTTTTGTTTCTGAATGTAATTAATGCAATCCACACAGGCGATTGGTGCATTTTTTAATGACTAACAACTAACCTTCTTTTTCTTTGGCGCACTCTTACTGTCTTCTTTAATACGGTCAAAGGTGGTATCCTGTTCCCTTTCGTTATCAAACTGCTCAGGAGTGAAAGTAGGATCCGCCTATAAACAAAACCGTCAGCCAACTACAATTAAGTCGTTGACATCATACCTCGATGCGTTCCAGAAATTCCTCAATTTCGGCAACGGCCTCTTTGAAACTTGCAGATTTGCACGAATTGACCAATTTCTCTTTAAACTCCAAGTAGGGCATAATGTTCGATTCCTCTATCCAGGCACTACAATTCGAGACACTTAGCGCTTTTCAAGACCGATTAAGCTAGTTACTAAACAGCGGAGTGACAGGTACTTACTAATTCTTTGTTCCGAAGAAGTAGATACATTGGAAATCCGTCTTCTTCGCGGGTTTTTTGACCCAGTGTTTCGGTTTCGAGATCTGGAAGAAGGCATTATTTACAAAATAAATTCGAAAAAGACTGACGTAAAGTTAAAGAGAAAGGTTATGTTTAAAATCGGCAATTTACGCAAGCGCACGTAGTAACGGTTTGGTTGAATGTCGCGGCGCGATATACTTACCAAGCCTGGCCAAGGAGAAAATCCCTTCATTTTTGCCCTGAAAGAAGTTAAGATTACACGTGGAACGCATTACTTTAATTTCAAATTATATGTGGAATTAATTGAAATAATATTATACGTACCAGACCAGGGAACCAATTTGTAATTTCTCCGACATAGCAACAACAGTTCACCTCAGTGTACACTCTCAGACTGTCCAAAAGTTTGTTGTGCCGCGCTTACATTTGCTAAAGGTGGGGATATGCGCCGCGCATCTCGGGACTCTGGAGATTTTACTGTTTATCCTAAATAGAAGTCCCGGTTTTTACAGCTTTTGATTACTAATTAAAGGCGCCCTCACCTGTATCAATGATGTGATTAGGATACAATAAACATATTACCTTGACTTCCGTTTCGTCGAAGAAGGGAATTTAGTTTATCCAACCCATTACGTGGGGGCGTAACATGAAAATGGCGGTTCATTTAAATTTAAAAATTGAAACCAACTTTTACACAAATTTGATTTGAGACGGAATGTAGCCATGTACCAATTCACGTTCAAATACCCTTTTTCCGTATATTGCACTTGCATATTTTAAGCTTTGAATCTTAAGGGAAGATTTGGCCAACGTTTACAATGGAAAAATCACCACTATGATTTAGATTCCTGATCCATGGATGGATCCACATCCACGCTCCACCTTATCAAAAACAATGGGACAAAATTGCCATCAGTGTAATTGAAGCATTTACATACTTCTTGAGAATGATGAAAAAACCTCCATACAACTGCCGCTATGGAGACTGGTTGGTCATGGATACGGTAGACATGACTATGACCAAATGGCCTAAGTTGTGTTAAAAGCTAATAGGTATATGGACGATAACCAATATAATTTCAAAAACATTAACTCCAATCAAAATTCCTGCTCAATTAGAACCATGCGGACACAAGATGCCTCCTCTGGGATGTGACATGCTCAGATACATTGGCCAAATCTTTCCGCAAATTATCAACAAGGATAATCTGGTCCCGTTGCACAGAATGCCGCTTCCTTGACACGAATAAAAATATGAAGGCGCGATTGCTGGTCATTTGCAGTGGAGACATTCGGACCATGGTGTCAGGTGTGAAGAAGCAAAGGAATTTGTTATTAGCGGGGAAAATTACTAATTAAACAAAACGGGGCGACCTCAAATCTGGATCATGTCTGACTCAACTCATAGGAATATGCAATACGACGATGGAACATTCAAATCTGAAGAGACTCTCGGAAATTTTTCACGTTTTAGACAAGGCCTGCTGCTCTATTCCAGTAACATACTTTGGGGTTTCGGTTTATTAATAAATTCCTGATACTACTTATTATTCAATTTGATAATTAAGAATAATGATTATAGGTTGTAATTATATCTACATTTTAAAATCATCTCCGATGCAATTACATACATTTGTGGAATGCAATTCTAATCATTTGTAACGAGCAATCAAAAATGAGTTGCTGCCAAAGTCGCCTTTGGAAGTTCAAGCATTCAAATGGTTCAAGTGCGATTTCCCATGTAAGCAAAAATTCCAAAGGTGACTCCACAGCAACCTTCTAATGTAGACAGACACTTTCCAAATGTTGTATAAGGAGCTGCAAGAGTCGTTTTCAAGAGCTTTCATATACGAATACGAGGGGGAGATATTCCAGACTCCCCAGAAAATTATGTTTTAAAATCCGCGGGAGTTCAAAACCACCTAGCACAGAATGACTTGATAACCTTTCTCCTATAAACCTCCGTACGTACCCTTATAGCCCCCCTAACACCTTCTTTCACAAACCGTATTGGCTTCAGCACTCGCTTGACAGTTATTGGAGAAGGATTAACAGACGATATTATTTTCTTCGCACTGGCGGTTCTTTTTATGTGTTGTACGTGAGACACAATCGGGACTAAAACTGGAACTGTTCCCGGCAGCTACGCAGAACGTTTGCTGTATATACAGAGTATTTCGTAAGTTTCCCCCATTGAAGTATATACAATATACTGTATATACAGAGTATATAGTTCAATGGTTTTCCCATACTGCATTCTTTTCAGATGTAATTGAATCATTTGCACTTTGCAAGGCAACACATGTCTTCACCTGCTTGCTTTTGAAATCACCTATCACCATCTATAGTTGCCTTATTTACAGAACTAGCTAGTTCCTCCTCAACGGCGGTAGAAACCACGTAAAATGAACAAACAGCTTCGACAAAGCTCTGGTAATATAAAAATTTTTATAGAGGAATTTTGGATGTTTTGAAACTCCTAAAGATGACCGCGACTGGGAAGGCGGCAGAGCGCTCTGGAAAAGACCGAACGTTCGTGTCTTGTAAAAGCTCTTGAATTCCAGAGATGCTCGATGAGCACCCTCTAAATTTAAACTTGAGATTTTTTGTTTCCTTTGTTTTGCGAGAAATTCAGTCTTCCTCAGTCTTTTTTTTGAGTTGTTTTATGCACCATAACGCACCTTGTCACGCTGCGCTATCTGCAAAGCAATGTACATGGACAAAAACAAAGCTCCTGTGCTGCAACATCTTCCCACTCTACCAGTTCTGCCCCGTATGACTTTTCCTACCAAAAATTAAATTGGTGCTGAATGTATCAAAAATTTAAAACTCCGGAGGCTGTTAAACTCATTGGATCTGTAGTAGTGCTTCCAACAATGGGGAATTCATGGAGCGGTGTAAGGAGGGAAGAGGCTTTATATAATAAGCTACACTGAAGTCCACATAATTGAATTACTTACCTGTGAGCTTGTGTGTGGCTAGGCGCTAGGGCAAACTTCATGGAAACAAATCTTCAGGGACAGAGAACAACACACTACATTCCAGTTTATTTACCTATTAGTCCAGGCAAATTGTATTTTTTACAAAAGAAAATTGTTAATGGAGCTTTGCCAAGTGGATATGTCTATACCTACTATAACAAATTAATACTATGCGACCAAAAGAGTTGCTGTCAAGTCACCTTTGCATTTTTTGTTTACATGGGAAATCGTTATTTGACTTAACTTCCAATGGCAACTTGACGTCAATCGTTTTTTGATTGCCCGCTACAAAAAAAATAAAAACGTGAGCAAAGGAGTGAGACTAAGTTTTTGGCGAGGGTATCGTATTATATTATTTCTGGTCATAGATAAAATTCTTCAATGTAAAAGTTATA